TATCTATCTATCTATCTATCTATCTATCTATCTATCTATCTATCTATCTATCATACCTACCTACCTACCTACCTACCTATTTATACAAAGTATAGAGAAAAGCAACTAGAATGATTAAAGGCCTGGAAACTAAAACACATGAAGAACGGTTGCAGTATTTGGGTTTTGATGGTCTAGAGAAAAGAAGGACTGGGGAGGACCTGATAGCAGTGTTCCAATATTTGAGGGGCTGCCACAAAGAGGAGGGGGGACCTATTTTCCAAAGCACCAGAAGGCAGGACAAGAAAAGCAATGGATGGAAACTAATGAAGGAGAGAAGCAACCTGGAATTAAGGAGAAGCTTCCTATCAGTGAGAACAATTAACCAATGGAACAGAAGTTTCCTTCAGAAGTTGTAGGTGCTTCATCAATGCAGGTTTTTAAAGAAAAAACTGGATACCACCTATCTGAAATGGTCTAGGGCTGTGATAGCAAGCCTATGTCACACGAGCCAGAGGTGGCAAGCAAAGCCCTCTCTGTGGGTGCTGTCACAGGGGGTCCGTCGCACACCGTGCACCAGTCCAGCTACCCAGAGTGCATGTGTGTGACAGAGCCCGGAAGAGCAGCTGGCCGCCGCGTGCATGCGCTCTCTTCCGGGTTCTGGCACTCTGGTGCATACATATGCTCCACTTTGGCACTCCTTGCCAAAAAGGATAGCCATCACTGGTCTAGGGTCTCCTGCTTGAGCAGGGGGTTGGACTAGAAGACCTCCAAGGTCCCTTCCAACTCTATTCTGGATCTGGCAAGAAAAGTCATAAAATGGAGCAAAAACCTGCTTCCCACATTTCTCACAACAAACATTCTCAGCAACATACATTCTCGGCTCGATTGTGGCTGGAGGTCAAGGACAACCTTGACGTATATAGCATGGATTTCTTCTCCCCATAAACGGATGAAAACAGATCAATCTGAAAATGACCAGGTTCATTTGGATCCCTGTTTTCAGTGAATGCTCCATCCACCCTAGTAGAGCATCCTTCCGAAAAGCTTTACCTAGATGTCTCAGTTCGTGCTGCTTCACTTTCTTCTTCAGTTTTATGGGTCCAACGTCTCGAAGACTCTTCCCTGGGCCTTCCGAAGGGGTCTCCATGCTGGACTCCTCAGAGGGTATTTCTCGGTAGTACAGCTTGTAGCCTGAAATTTGTCCGTGGTTGGGTGGAGGCTGCCAACTGATTGACAGCGAGTCCATTTTGGCCTGGACCATCAACTCAGTTGGGGCAAAGAGAACTAGGAAAAAGGGACAGGGGAATCCTGAGACACGGCCCAACTGACCAATTCATCTGCATCTCCATTAACTTTTCCCCATCCTTGCCGTCTCCAAATTGCCTCTAGCTATAAATCAATCTGAATTACGTTACAGGTAGTCCTAGTACCACAGTTCATTTAGTGACCGTTCAACGTTACAACCGCATTGAAAAAAAAGGGAGTTACGACCATTTTTCACAGTTGCAGCCTCTCCATGGTCACGTGATCAAAATTCAGACGCTTGGCAGCTGGTTCACACCTATGACAGTCGCAGTGTCCTGGGGTCACGTGATTCCCCTTTGGTGACCGTCTGGCAAGGCAAGTCAACGGGGAAGCCGGATTTGCTTAACAACCGGGATGCTAACTGACCGACTGCAGTGATTCACTTAACAACGGTGGCAAGAAAGGTCGTCAAATGAGGCAAAACTAAATTAACAAATGTTTCCCTTCACAATTTTGGGCTCAATGATGGTCGTAAGTTGAGGACTACCTGTAGACCGCACCAGAGGCCTCCATAAGGGCCCTCAATGATGTCAAAATGGCAGATATGATTGGGCAGCGTGTGATGAACATTAAAAGGTGGGCTTTGGAAACCTGAAGTTTTTTGATTAGGAATAATGTCTGCGAAATAGAAAAAAGAAATCCAGTATTTAATACTACATATAATTACGGCGGCAAGGGTTGCCTTTGCCCAGAAATGGAAAGACAAATTAATTCCAAGTGAAGATGAAACAAGAAGAAAGGTTATGGATTGTGCTGAAATGACTGTCGC